GCGGCAGCGTGAGTCCAGGGGGGAGAGGGGAGGGGGCAAGGGGCAAGGGCAGGGGGGGGGGGGGACAGACCAAGCCCAGTGCATTCTCAGAACGACCGCCTTGCCGTGTGTCTTGGTCAGAAAGGTTGCATTGGGGGCAAGACTTTTCCTTCGGGGTGGCCAAGAGAGGGGGGGAGGGGGCTTGCTTGCGTGTGTGCGGACGTGAGAAAGTGGCTTGCTTGTGAGGGGCTTGGGTGGTCGTTCTTAGGGGTAACTTGGGGAATACTTGGTTTTGTGTGAGAGGGTGTGTTTGTGTTTGTTTTTTGTTTGTTTTTATGAGTGGCTTGCAATAGCAGTTTAAGAGAGTGGCTTGCAATAGCAGTTTAAGAGAGTGGCTTGCAATAGAGAATTAAGAAAGTGGCTTGCAATGCAGGCTTAAGAGTGGCTTGCGTGATCAATTTTCTGGGTATTTAAGTCTGGATGCTTTTGTGAAAAATGATGTGTTTTTGCATTAGTTTTTTCACACGATGTATCTTTTTTTTTCCTTTTTCCCTTTTAGATAGGAGTGGAGTGTGGTTCGAATTATTCAAATCCGTGGAGAGATGACTGTTGCTGATAACACACGTAAATAAAAACTGCATTGAATAAGTCATGTTTCATTGCGATGTCGGCGATAAGGGAGGAAGGTCACTATTTTTTTTTTTACTAAAGAATAACTACAGGAAAAGAAATGGATGTGAAAGAGACGAGGGAATGAAGAAGGGGGAAGGGGAGAGGGAGAGGGAGAGGGAGAGAATGAGAGGAGAGAGAGGAGAGAGAGAGAGAGAGAGAGAGGAGAGAGAGAGAGAGAGAGAGAGAGAGAGAGAGAGAGAGAGAGAGAGAGAGAGAGAGAGAGAGAGGAGAGAGAGGGAGGGAGGGAGGGAGGGAGGGAGGGAGGGAGGGAGGGAGGGAGAAGAAGAGGAGAAGAGGAGAGAGGGAGAGGGAGAAAGAGAGAAAGAGAGAGAGAGAAGGAAAGCGAGAGTAAGAAAGAGAGAAAGCAAAGAAAAAGAAACAGAGAAAAACGAAAACTGACAATTAACCAAACACACTCACACACACATCACGAGATCCCAAGAATGCAATAAATCAACACATGTCACCAACCCACCTTTTCCACCCGTGCAATACATCGCAATTTGCATTTCCTTGTCAATACTGACCGAGGAACACATAACCCACGTAATTCCACTTCCATTTAACTCACTGAACGAAAACACTAAACTGACTTGACCGCTGTGGATCTTCCTGTTTAGAGATACCTTGACCTTGAGAAAAAAAGACAGAAGATGGCCAAGCAGTGTGAGACATGAGACGCAGCATCACATTTACATAAATTAGCACGGACTTCCTGCATGCTGAAGTCTCGCTGTGGAAGTCAGGGGGATTGTGTATAGATCATAATGACTTCTGTAAATGAATGTAAGTGTATATGACGTGTAATAGTTTAGATTGGTGTAAATGTGTATGGTGAATGTTTGTGTAAATCAAAGTTTACGGAGATTATTATACTCTTAAATGTAAATCGACGTAATTGTGTACAGGCCATAATACTTGTGTAAATAAACATAACTATACACAGATACAAAAGATACCCGAGTGTAAAATGAGCCTATATCACAACACTCGCGTAAACAAAAGCAAAATAATATAAACCGCTCACCTAAACATCAGCCTCTCTCTCTCTCTCTCTCTCTCTTTTCTTTCCCTCCCTCTTTCTCTCTCTCTCTCTCATCTTCCTTCTCCCTCTCCCTCTCTCTCTTTCTCTCTTCCTCTCCCTCCTGTAGTCTACCTCATTGATAAGGTGACTCTTGAGTGCTTAATCGAACCCTATTTTCATTGATTGAATTCTTAAGCCTTATTAGAGGCGAATTCTTGTCTATTTCATGCACTTTCTTTTCTTCTCTGTTTGTTTATCTGTCTGTCTGTGTATATGCTTCATATACATCGGAGTATATGGTATAATGTGTGTGTCTATGGGTACATATTTATTTGGAAGTTGTATTGCTATTCAATGGAAATTATGAATGAAAACGTCAACGATTTTAGCGATCATTTATTTTAATTACTAATCTATACAATTTCTATCTCTTCATGTATGGACTTGAGGTTATACACTTAAAAAGGAATACATACATACACATACACATACACACACACACACACACACATGTGTGTGTGTGTATGTGTATGTGTATACAAATGTTAGTGTAAATGTATCTATTTTATATTCAAATCATTTACCTCAATACATGTCTCTGTATGTGTTTGTGAGTGTCACTGTGTGTGTGTGTGTGTGTGTGTGTGTGTGTGTGTGTGTGTGTGTGTGTGTGTGTGTGTGTGTGTGTGTGTATGTGTGTGTGTGTGTGTGTGTGTGTGTGTGTGTGTGTGTGTGTGTGTGTGTGTGCGTGCGTGTACATATATACACATATATATATATATATATATATATATATATATATATATATATATATATGTGTGTGTGTGTGTGTGTGTGTGTGTATGTATATATATACATGTATATGTATATATAAGTGTGTATATATATATGCGTATAAAGACAGCCGCATACTACATAACAACATACATGTACGTACACTCACAAAACATACAAACACACGTCCACGATCGGACACAAAGGTCAACCGCAACGAAGCGCTCATCCGGAGAGCGGCCGGTCCAGCGTCAGCCACTCAATATCATTAAGTGAACGTGCGGCGGCCCCCTCCTGTCCCTCCTCCTCCTCCTCAACCGCGGCCTATATCGCTTTATATCAACTTAATCGGGTCACTGATCACACGTCGGCGGCTGCAGGAGGCAGGAGGGTGAACAGAAGGAAAGGAAATTATCCGGAATTAATCTCGTTTTGATAGAAATGACTCGAAATGAAGCACAGTTGTTACATGGTCAAATTTCCCACGGATAATGGCGGCCGAGTCTACAGACGCCGGAGCCTGGAGTTATGTGGTTTTGTAATGGCGCTTATCATCTGAACTGGATCAGATATTTGTTCTATGGAATCTAGGAGGAAGATTCGAGAGAGCTGTCGCTAGATGGAGCTCGAACGACTGCGAGAATGCTGAGGGAAATCGTCTCATTTTATATCTGGGGAGAATAGTTCGGTAATGAAAAATGAAAGACGAATAGGAAATACTTATATAAAACTTGTGACATCGAGTAAAATATTCCAGTTATTTCCACATTCTCTGGAGGGTTTCAAGGGAAATTGGTCTTTTTTCTTGAATGTTCGATAATGAAAATCGGAAATTTACAAATGATACAAGAAATCGAGTAATTATTCCAAATATTTCCACATCATCTGAAAGAGTTGGAACTACAAGAATTATTTGTCATTTCACAAACATTCAAGTCTATAGTTACAAATAATTCAAAATACCTTTTCTCCTGTTTGTTTTTTTTACTTAACCCCCACAATTAACGAACACCTCCGAACACATTAACCGGAAAAGCGCGGAAAAGCCCGCCCCCTAAAACCCGGTTAAGCTAACTCACTTACCGACACCGAATAATTTACACCATTTTTATCATTATCATTAACTTTTTTAAGACAAATACCCGTAAATAAACCTAACCGACAAATTACCCCCACCACCGGAGAGATAGACACCCCAATTACACGCTAACACAGTGCTAAACAGGCAAACGAGCCGACCCCGTCATTCATAATAACAGTAGCAGTGGTTAGCAAAGGGAAATGTATGGTTTTACAGACAGGTAGCGCCCTCCGTCTGGCTGCTTACCTGGCGCGCTTCACTGACTCCAAAGCTGCTGCGGACTTAGCTGACTGACTGGGCTAAGTCGCTGCTTTTGAACTCCTTTGAGTCTAATTCGCCGGTCTGGCTTTTAGCAAACTGATTTAGATAACTGGGTATGGGAGATGATGATGATGATTATTATTATCTTTGAGGGCGAGTGAAGGAATGCTAGTTTTGATTATTATCGTTATTGTTATTATTAGCAGTAGTAGTATTGTTATTATTAATATATATTATTTCAAAGACCGGGTATTGTAGGTTTGTAAAATCTACATGTAGAGAGCTTTATTCTCACTCTTGTTGTTATTATTGTTATTATTATTATTATTTCATCATCATCATTATTATCATTCTATTAGTTACCCGTCATTAATGCATTAACAAAGCCTCATAGGTATAATAGCAAAGAAAATCTGAGAATTCATTAACCTTTTCACAATGAATACCATTAGCATTATCATTACCCCCCGGCTTCATTGTCACTAAATTTATCATCCTCAAAATACCTTTACCGTCTTCTACACAAACAACAAAGACGTAAAATTCACAGAAACTAAACAACAAAACACTTGGAGCAAAAAAAAAAAAAAAAAAAAAAAAAAAAAAAAAAAAAAAAAAAAAAAAAAAAAAATTGTCTTTGTTAGTCTATGGTTTACGACTGCCTCTGGTCGCGATGACGGCAGGTCGGTTGCGGTTTCCTCTCTCTTCTCTCTTTCTCTCTCTCTCTCTTCTCTCTCCTTTCTCTTTGTTCAGCACTTTTCTCTTTTTTGTTCTGTCTATGTATCTCTCTGTCGCCCTCTCGCGTTTCTCTCTCTCTCTCTCTTTCTGTTCTCTCTCTCTCTTTCTGTTCTCTCTCTCTCTTTCTGCTCTCTCTCTCTCTTTCTGTTCTCTCTCTCTCTCTCTCTCTCTCTCTTTTCTCTCTCTTTCTGTTCTCTCTCTCTCTTTCTGTTCTCTCTCTCTCTTTCTGTTCTCTCTCTCTCTTTCTCTTTCTCTGTCTCTCGCTTTTCTTTTTTTTCTGTTTCTCTCATTCTCGCTTTATCCCCCCCTCTCTCCCTCTTTCTCTGTGTCATTCCCCCCTCTCTCTCTCCCTGTCTCCTCCCCCTCTTCCTCTCTCTCTCCCTGTCTCCTCCCCCTCTTCCTCTCTCTCTCCCTGTCTCCTCCCCCTCTTCCTCTCTCTCTCCCTGTCTCCTCCCCCTCTTCCTCTCTCTC